TTCTTTTGCTTATTTTTTTTTTAGAATGTGAAAGAATCTTATGAATTCAGGGTGTTCTATTTTGGCAGAATTTGAAAGTTTCGCGAGGTGTTGGTATTTAATTCTTTTTGGAAGAGTTTGAGGGAATCTTGAGGTGTCTTAATGTTATTTTAGGACTTCTTAAGGGTCTCTAGTGTTTTCTAACTTTAAACAATCACGAGGACATTTGAATTTTCTTTTTGGAAATAGTTTCATAGAATCTTTGGATCTCCCAGTGTGTGTGTTTGTTTTAAGAATGTGAAATCTTGGGCGCAACTAGTTTCTTTTCAAAAAAATTGGTCTAAAGAGTTTAGACAGTACTTCCCTCGCTGTCGGAAACTTGACGACTGCATGCCTATTGTGTTTTTTTTCTCATTACATTTTTGTAGTGGGAATTTAAAAAAAAATTGCGATGACGTCATCAACATTTTTGCAAGGACACGTATATCAGTTGGGATAGATGTAGTGTAATACTAAGAATAAAATTATTATATTCTCAAATTTTCGGGAAAATGAATTGGGTCGTTTTGAATATTGATTTGTAATAATCAATAAAATAACGAAACAATTTACTCACGTATACGTATCAGAGGCAACTGAAAATCGTGTATGTATAAACATTCTTAATTTAAGATGACAGGCGTAACAGCATACGTGAGAGTCAAACAGAGAAACTGTAAACAAAACGACCATCGGTTTTATTGCTTCGACTTCCGCTTATTATATAAAACATTGGGTTTTATTTTAATTCTTGAAGGTGAAATTCACAATTGGTTGATTGTAAACATGTCTATTTCACATTCGCGGAACCAAGTGAGCACATAAAACAAATGCAGGTCTGTAATGTTAAAGTCGATGTAAATAAGCGTGCTACCCTTATGTTTCAACCGAGTTTTTCCTTTAACAAATTTTGTGTCTACCAAATTGGGTTGGTTGGGGTGTAATACTAATAATAAGTGTTGCCTTTAATTTAATCAATAAAATAAATTGACTTCATTAATTTTTTTGAACCACCTCTTAAGAAAATCTAAAAAATATGAATGGAATGATAAATCACAAGTACAAACTCATCATATTTTTTGCATTTTAGATAGGATTTATTCAGCAAAATTTAAGGGTGACGTCAAAAATATATTTACGCATTCATTAATTTTTTTGAGTCACCCTGTATATGCAAATCCAAAAAATATGAATGGAGTGATAGATCACAAGTACAGACTCATCATATTTTGTACATTTTAGATATGATTTATTCCACAAACTTTTGAGCTGACGTCATCAAGTTTTTGGAGGGGATAAGCAAATATTTTTTGACTAAAGATTTATGATGCTCTTTATAGCCTTAAAACATCTGCAACATTTCAAAGCATTCTGGTTAGCACATTAAAAATTAAATTTCAAAATGTTGTTTTATAATTTTGATTTTTTTTCCAAAAATCTGGACGTTTCGGGTGAAAAGTCGATTCAGAGTTGTAAACTACATGTGTAGGACTATGTTATTTTATATAATTGAAAACCCATTTACTATGTACAATTTTGAAGTGACGTCATCGCATTAGTGGTGGGGATGATTAGACAAATTTTGGTTAGCGTTTTACCATCTACATGATATTCTTAATATAAGTACAAAATTTCACAACAATCGGTCGAGTACTTTCGGAGATTATCTGTCTAATAAAAATCTGGGGGCAGACGGACACACGGACAGACGGACGGACAGACGGACGGACAGACAGACGGACAGACGGACGGACAGACGGACGGACAGACGGACGGACAGACGGACAGACAGACGGAAATGGGAGACCTATTTCTTCGTCTTCTAGGGGTCATGAAAGATCGAGAAAACGTAAAAGCAGAGAGTTGTTTTAACATTTTCGAAAATTTTTCAACTATTTTCGAAAATTAGTTGAAGACATTTTCTTGTAGATTTCGGGCCGCTGACGTCATTTCCGTTTTCATTTCTTCGATAACTCCAATGGTTTTCCCAGAATCGTCCTTTGAAATATACAAAAATATGCAAAATAACCCCAATTTTCCACCAATTTTCAACAAAATTTTCGAAATTTCACTTAATACATTTTCTTGTAGATTTCGGGCCGCAGAAGTCAAATCCGTTTTCATTTCTTCGATAACTCCAATGGTTTTCCCAGAATCGTCCTTTGAAATATTCACAAAGATGTTTAAAATTTGTTTATTTGAGACAATAGAAAAGCCAGAACAAGTCAAGTCACGTTAGGTCAAGTCAAGTCAGGTGCATGAAATAAGAAATAAATTTTATAGCAAATAGTCTTTCTTTTTTTCACATCCTTTTTCAACTCCCACTCAACAGAAGAACATATTTAGCCCCGCCCACCCACCCGGCCTCCATTTCGGTGATTGGTTTTATCCACTCTGTACCGGTGGAATGATCTTATATTGAACAGAAATAAAATTATTCGTTAGAATGAGAAGAGGGGATGGGTGGGTGGGGCTAATATTTGCTAAAATAAGTCAGAGTTTGGCAAATGACATATCCTACAAGAAAATAGAGGGTGGGTGGGCGGGGCTTGTATTTGCTAAGACAAGATTGATTTTGGCACTTTTGACATATTCGACAAAAAATGTTACAATTCGCGCTTTTTTTACTTTTTTCACATCCTAGATTCTATTAATTTCCACTCCCTCTCAACAGAAGAATATAATTAGCCCCGCCACCCACCCGGCCTCCATTTCTGTGAACGGTTTTATCCGCTCTGAATGGATGGAATGATCTTATACTGAACAAATGAAATTAGTCGTTAGAATGAGAAGAGGGGGTGGGTGGGTGGGGCTAATATTTGCTAAGATCAGACAGATTTTGGAAAATCACATAATTTCCAGCAAAACAGAGGGTGGGTGGGTGGGGCTAGTATTTGATAAGATAAGACTGATTTTGGCAATTTCATCTTAGCAGGTACTATCCCCGCCCACCCACCTACTCTCTCTTTTCTTCAGTTTACAGGAAGGCATCCTTCTTATTTGTTATTGTTGCAGAAAAAATCGAAGAAATTAAACCATGATACATAAGCTCTTCAAATATGGTTTTAACGACTTTGAGATTTATTTTTTTGTGAATTGCTTTTTGTATTTCTCTGAATAATAAGATTGGGATTTGGTATATATTCGTGATAGTCCTAATAATTTTGAAAGGGTTTGAAGTAATCTTGGTACTCTAGTGGTTTATTAATGTCAAACAATCTTGTATCTTGGCAAGTTCAAGTCCCGCCCACCCGCCCTCTATTTTCTTGGACAGTATATCATTTGCCAAAATCTTTTCTTCCTAAGATAAGACTGATTTTGGCAAATGATATATCCTCTAAGAAAAAAGAGGGCGGGTGGGCGGGCCTAGTACTTGTTAAGTTAAGACTGAATTTGGCAAATCACATTGCTTCCAAGAAAATAGAGGGTGGGTGGGCGGGGCTAGTATTTGATAAGATAAGACTGATTTTGGCATTTTGTCACATCCTTTTTCCACTCCTACACAACAGAAGAACATAATTAGCCCCGTCCACCAGTGATTGATTTTATCCGTTCTGAATGTTCCACTGAACGCAATCAAATTAGTCGTTAGAATGAAAAGAAGGGGAAGGGTGGGCGGTGCTAGCACTTACTCAGATAAGAGTGATTTTGGTAAATGACTTACTTTAAGAAAATAGAGGGTGGGTGGGCGGGGCTAGTATTTTTTTTCTTAATTCAGTACATAGAGCAACAATCTGCATAATGTAATATAAATGTAAATAAATAAATAAAGGCTATCTATTTGAACAAGATAAGAATGATTCTGGCAAATCACATAGCCTCTAAGAAGACAAAGGGTGGGTGGGCGGGGCTAGTACTTGTTAAGATAAAACTGATTTTGGCAAATCATATACTCTTTAAGAAAATACAGGGCGGGTGGGCGGGGCTAGTATTTACCAAAATACAAATGATTTTGGTAAATGATATATTTACTATTTAATATTATAAGAGGTTGGCGGTAGCTACTACTTGCAAGTACTACCCCGCCCACCCACCCTCTATTTCTTTAAGTAGTATATCATCTGCCAAAATCAGTCTTATCTTATCAAATACTAGCCCCGCCCACTCGCCCTTTATTTTCGTAGAGGATATGTGATTTTCCAAATCAGTCATATCTTAGGAACTACGACTACACAAGTATGTACTTGTGTTTTGTTGAAAGTTTGTTGGACGTTCTTGGTGGTTTCAATTTTAAAGCGAGATTAAGAAATTTTGGGGATCATTGGTGTTTTCTTTGTGAAATTATTTGAAAAGATCTTGGGGCATCCAGGTGTTTTACTTTTTTATGAAATAATCTTCGAGACTCCTTGCGTTTTCTTTTTGAAAAAAATTTTGAGGCTTCTTTTGCTTAATTTTTTTTTAGAATGTGAAGGAATCTTGGGAATTCAGGGTGTTCTATTTTGGCAGAATTTGAAAGTCTCGCGAGCTCTTGGTATTTAATACTTTTTGGAAGAGTTTGAAGGAATCTTGAGGTCTCTTAATGTTATTTTAAGACTTCAGATGTTTTATTTTCGTAGAGTTTTTTTTAAGAATGTGAAAGGACCTTGTGGTCACATTGTGTTTTTTTACTTCAAAAACCTGACGATGTTCTTGATGATTCTATTTTTGAAAGAACTTGCAACACTTAAGTTTTCAGTTAATTACTGGCTCTTTTTTGCACTGGTAGGATACATATACCTGTGGGAATGAGACTTCCCAAACTGGAAAAATATAACTGCCTTCTAGGACCGCATTTATTTTATTCATAGGATTAAGTTTAATTTCACTAAATATTTATTGCATTTGAATCGAGGAGGGTAACTTTATCGCTTTCTCGAATTTTTGGGTTGCTCAAACCCCGTTTTTCGCCTATTTTAGGACATATAGTGACTTTTTTTGGGCTAAAATCCCCTTTTTAGACTCATATCCAATTTTGACGCGGAACTTATTTTAAGGATTTTTACCTTCCTCTTGGCGATGCTGTGGTAGATCCGCGCCCTGCACGCCCTGAAGCATCCCCAGGTGAACAGCGGCGGCCTCGGGGTGCGCACCTCCGTGTAGGTGTCCCTGTGCAGACTCGAGTACGACGCGTTCCACGGCCATACCTGCTCTAGCCCGTCTAGGGGGTGCCGCGAGCCGTCGGGGGACGACAGAAGTCTGGTGGCGCTGAGCTGGTGGCTCACGCCCCCGCTGCAAAAAACTCACATTTAATACCACGTCATCATCCCCGCAGACACCCCATCCAAAAAAACTCGCCCAACAACTGGTAACCTACACCCCCGTATTCCACGACCTGCCAACCTCCCACTAATACTTCCCTTATCAATCTTTCGTTCGCAAAGCAAAAAGGAAAGTTTAACTAAACCGTGCCACGACTTCCTCCCCTCCAGCGCAGACCGTGACACAATAACGAGCTCTCGTAACCAATCACCGCGACGAACGATCACTCAAGATACCACTACCTGATGAAGTCGTGCGAGTTGAGGCTCTCCCAAGACATTATTTATTCATTGGAGCCGAGGGTGCACTTGCTGCACTTTTCGCACATCGACCGGCCCGACATCCTCGCAGCGGCTGGGTCGCAGAGTGCCAAAAGCAACGGAACGGGAAAAAAACCAGGAGGAGGAATCGGTTCTGGGACACAATATGTGCACGGAAAAACACACCCCTGCGACCACCATCCAGCATCCCCGACTGAGGCAAAGCAGATCATTATTTCGGGGGATGTCGACGGCGCTCGCAGGATCTCGGCAGGGATGAAGGGGAGCGACTGGATCGGCTGGCTTCGCTGCTCCTGCAACGTTCCTGCAGGAGCGCGGGGATGGGGCGCCTGTTGCGGATGCATGCTGCAGGACAGGAACGAAAGTTGGACCGTTGCGGTTTCGATAATTGTTTAATCCAATAAGGTGCGAACTTATCAAGGAATCGATGTTGCCAGATTTGGGGAAGTTTGGACGTAGTTGGGGCTCGGGAAGGGAACGCATATGTGGTGGAGGAGGATTTTGTGCTTAATTTTCATTACGCCGTATTTGCGTGGGGCGAAGAGAATGTTTAATAGGAGAGAGTCATTAATAATTCTGAGGAGGATTTAAAATAGGAGGAGAATCTCGGAGTTCCACAAGTCCCGGATGTCGACACGTGTCGACATATTTTTAGTGATTGATGGATTGGGCTTATCTGGGGTCTACAAGTGCTATTGTTTTTAACTTTTTTTTACTATAAATAGATATGTATTGGGAGAATGCTCGCTCCGCTCGCCCTAAGCATTGTTTTTTAAATAACATAAATTTGAACCGTTACATTCTTATTTTATCAAATACTAGCCCCACCCACCCACCCTCTAGTTTCTTGGAAGGTATGTGATTTGCCAAAATCAGTCTTATCTTAGCAAATACTAGCCCCACTCACTGCGAGTGGAAAAAGGATGTGAAAAAAAACGCCAATCGTAACTTCGTAAAGAAGAGGTTAAAAAGTGAAAAGTATATAAAAATTATAAAAAGAAGAATTGCAAAATAACAATTGAGAACCTAAAAAATCGAAAAACAGACAACTTAAAATTCAAGAAATTGTAAAAGTAAAAATCCGATAATTGAAAAACCCAAACAATTTCAAAAATCGCAGAATTGAAGAAACAAATTTAAAAATCGATTTTTCAACTTTTTCAACTCTTAGATAAATTTCAATTTTTCGTTTCTTCAATTTTTAATTATGCAACTTTTTATTTTTAAGTTTGGATGTGTAATAATAATTATAATTTTTAAAATTTTCAATTTTTCAATTTTAGTATTTTAGAACTTCTCAGTTTTTAATTTTTCAATTTCTCCCTGATGTAGAGAAGATAAGACTGATTTTGGCAAATCACATACTTTCCAAGAAAAGAAAGGGTGGGTGGGCGGGGCTAATGCTTGCTAAGATAAGACTGATTTTGGCAAATGACATAACCCCTAAGAGAATCAAAACTAGCCCCGCCCACCCACCCTCTATTTTCTTGTAAGATGTCATTTGCAAAAATCTGTCTTATCTTAGCAAATATTAGCCCCACCCACCCACCCCCTGTTCTCATTCTAACGACTAATTTTATTTCTGTTCAGTATAAGATAATTCCATCCATTCAGAGCGGATGAAACCGCTCACCGAAATGGAGACCGGGTGGGTGGGCGGGGCTAATTATATTCTTCTGTTAAGTGGGAGTGGAAATTAATAGAATCTAGGATGCGAAAAATGTAAAAAAACGCTAATTGTAACTTTTTTGGTCGAATATGTCAAAAGTGCCAAAATCAATCTTATCTTAGCAAATACAAGCCCCACCCACCCACCCTGTATTTTCTTGTAAGATATGTCATTTGCCAAAGTCTGTCTTATCGTAGCAAATATTAGCCCCACCCACCCACCCCTTCTTCTCATTCTAACGACTAATTTTATTTCTGTTCAGGATAAGATCATTCCATCCATTCAGAGCGGATAAAACCAATCACCGAAATCGAGACCGGGTGGGTGGGCGGGGCTAATTATGTTCTGCCAAAATCAGTCTTGTCTTATCAAATACTAGCCCCGCCCACCCACCCTCTAGTTTCTTGTAGGATATGTCATTTGCCAAAATCTGTCTTATCTTAGCACATACTAGCCCCACCCCCCCTCGTCTTATTCTAACTAAGAATAAAATCAATCACTACAACAGAGATAGGGTGGGTAGGGGGGGCTAATTATGTTCTTCTGTTGAGTGGAAATGGAAAAAGTATGTGAAAAAAGTAAAAAAAAACGCCAATCGTAAGTTCGTAAAGAAGAAGATAAAAAGTGAAAAACTATCTAAAAATTAAAAAGAAGAATTACACAATAAAAACTGAGAACCTAAAAAATCGAAAAACAGACAACTTAAAATTCAAGAAATTGTAAAAGTAAAAATCCGATAATTGAAAAACCCAAATAGTTTCAAAAATCGCAGAATTGAAGAAACAAATTTAAAAAACGATTTTTCGACTTTTTTCAACTTTTAGATAAATTTAAAATTTTTCGTTTCTTCAATTTTTGATTATGCAACTTTTTTAGTTATCATTTTGAAAGCGTAATAATAATTATAGTTTTTAAATTTTCACTTTCTCAATTTCAGGATTTCAAAATTTTTCAGTTTTTTATTTTTCAATTTCTCGAAGACACAGAGAAGGTAAAACAGATTTTGGCAAATGACATATTCCCTGAGAAAGGAGAGGGTGGGTGGGCGGGAATGGTACTTGCAAAAAAAGATCGACTTTGGCAAATGGCATATTCCCGAAGAAAACAGAGGATGGGTGGGCGGGGCTAGTACCTGCTAAAATAAGAGTGGTTTTGGCAAATGACCTATCCTTTAAGAAATTTAATTAAATTATTATAAGGAAAGACACTAGAGGCTACAAAGCAGTTTCAAATTCTTTCCAATCAAGAATACCTAGAACTACAATATAAGATCATTCCACTTATCCATAGTGGATAAAACCAATCACTGAAATGGAGGCCGGGTGGGTGGGCGGGGCTAATTTTGTTCTATTGTTTTGTAGGAGTGGAAAAAGGATATGAAAGAGTACCAAAATCAGTCTTATCTTATCAAATAGTAGCCCCGCCCACCCACCCTCTATTTTCTTGGAAGCTATGTGATTTGCCAAAATCAGTCTTATCTTAGTAAGTACTAGCCCCACCCACCCCCCTCTTCTCATTCTAACGACTAATTTTATTTATTTTCAGTATAAGATCATTCATTTCATTCAGATCGGACAAAATCAATCACTGAAAACGAGGCGGGTGGGTGGGCGGTATTAATTATGTTCTTTTGTTGAGTGGGAGTAGGTAGGAATTTCCGAAAAAATGAACCCAAAAATGACTTCTGGATATCGAAATCTACGAACATGATTTCAATTAATTTTCGAAAATAGTTGAAAAATGGTCGAAAATGTCAAAAGTGCCAAAATCAGTTCTATCTTATCTAATACTAGCCCCGCCCACCCCCCTCTTCTTATTCTAAAATACACTAAAATAGAGGTAGGGTGGGTGGGTGGGACTAATTTTGTTCTTCTGTTGAGTGGGAGTGGAAAAAAGATGCGAAAAAAGTAAAAAAAAAACGCCAATCGTAAGTTCGTAAAGAAGAAGCTAAAAACTGAAAAAGTATCTATCATTATAAAAAGATTTACAAAATAAAAATTGAGAACCTAAAAAATCGAAAAACACACAACTTAAATTGTTGAAAATCGTCCAAAAATATTAAAAATGCCAAAACCAGTTTTATCTTATCAAAACTAGCCCCGCCCACCCACCCTCTATTTTCTTGGGGGGTATGTGATTTGCCAAAATCAGTCTTATCTTATTAAATATTAGCCCCACCCACCCACCCACCTCCTCTTCTCATGCTAACGACTAATTTTATTTCTGTTCACTGTAAAATCATTCCATCCATTCAGAGCGGATAAAACCAATCACCGAAATGGAGACCGGGTGGGTGGGCGGGGCTAATTATGTTCTTCTGTCGAGTGGGAGTGGAAAAAAGATGTGAAAAAAGTAAAAAAAAACGCCAATCATAAGTTCGTAAAGAAGAAGCTAAAAAGTGAAAAAGTATCTAAACATTATAAAAAGAATTACAAGATAAAAATTGAGAACCTAGAAAATCGAAAAATATGTAGACAACTTAAAATTCCAGAAATTGTAAAAGTAATAATCCGATAATTGAAAAACCCAAACAATTTCAAAACTCGCAAAATTGAAGACACAAATTTAAAAATTGATTTTTCAACTTTTAGTCAAATTTCAATTTTTTGTTTCTTCAATTTTTTATTATACAACTTTTTTAGTTTTCATTTTGAATGTGTAATAATAATTATGATTTTTTTAAATTTTCAGTTTTTCAGTTTTACGATTTCAGAATTTTTCAGTTTTTTATTTTTCAATTTCTCGCAGACAGAGAAGATAAGACTGATTTTGGCAAATCACATACCTTCCATGAAAAGAAAGGGTGGGTGGGCGAGGCTAGTACTTGTTAAGATAAGACTGATTTTGGCAAATCACATACCTTCCAAGAAAAGAAAGGGTGGGTGGGCGGGGCTAGTACTTGCTAAAATAAGAGTGATTTTGGCAAATGAGTTATCCTTTAAGAAATTTAGTTAAATTATTATAAGAAAAGACACTTGAGACTCCAAATCAGTTTCAAATTCTTTCCAAACAAGAATACTTAGAACCTCAAGATTTTTTTTAATTTTTCAAGAAAATGAGTTCAACTAATACTTCGAACATTGTTGAAAATCGTCCAAAAATATTAAAAATGCCAAAATCAGTTTTATCTTATCAAAACTATCCCCGCCCACCCACCCTCTATTTTCTTGTAGGATATGTCATTTGCAAAAATCTGTCTTATCTTAGCAAATATTAGCCACACCCACCCACCCCCTCTTCTCATTCTAACGGCTAATTTTATTTCTGTTCAGTATAAGATCATTCCACCGATTCAGAGCGGATAAAACCGTTCACCGAAATGAAGGCCGGGTGGGTGGGCGGGGCTAATTATGTTCTTCTGTCGAGTGGGAGTGGAAACTAATAGAATCTAGGATGTGAAAAAAGTAAAAAAAAGCACTAATTGTAACTTTTTTTTGGTCGAATATGTCAAAAGTGCCAAAATCAGTCTTGTCTTATCAAATACTAGCCCCGCCCACCCACCCTCTATTTTCTTGTAGGATATGTCATGGGCCAAAATCTGTCTTATCTCAGCAAATATTAGCCCCACCCACTCACCCCCTCTTCTCATTCTAACGACTAATTTTATTTTTGTTCAATATAAGACTATTCCACCGATTCAGAGCGGTTAAAACCAATCACCGAAATGGAGGCCGGGTGGGTGGGCGGGGCTAATTATGTTCTTCTGTTGAGTGGGAGTGGAAGTTAATAGAATCTAGAACGTGGAAAAAGTAAAAAAGCACTAATTGTAACTTTTTTTTGGTCGAATATGTCAAAAGTGCCAAAATCAGTCTTGTCTTATCAAATACTAGCCCCGCCCACCCACCCTCTATTTTCTTGTAGGATATGTCATGGGCCAAAATCTGTCTTATCTCAGCAAATATTAGCCCCACCCACTCACCCCCTCTTCTCATTCTAACGACTAATTTTATTTTTGTTCAATATAAGACTATTCCACCGATTCAGAGCGGTTAAAACCAATCACCGAAATGGAGGCCGGGTGGGTGGGCGGGGCTAATTATGTTCTTCTGTCGAGTGGGAGTGGAAATTAATAGAATCTAGAACGTGGAAAAAGTAAAAAAGCACTAATTGTAACTTTTTTTTGGTCGAATATGTCAAAAGTGCCAAAATCAGTCTTGTCTTATCAAATACTAGCCCCGCCCACCCACCCTCTATTTTCTTGTAGGATATGTCATGGGCCAAAATCTGTCTTATCTTAGCAAATATTAGCCCCACCCGCTCACACCCTCTTCTCATTCTAACGACTAATTTTATTTCTGTCCAGTATAAGATCATTTCATCCATTCAGAGCAGATAAAATCAATCACCCAAATGGAGGCCGGGTGGGTGGGTGGGGCTATTATTTTCATCTGTTTTGTAGGAGAGGAAAAAGGATATGAAAAAGTACCAAACACAGTCCTGACATATCAAATACTAACCCCGCCCACCCGCCCTCTATTTTCTTGAAAGCTATGTGATTTGCCAAAATCAGTCTTATCTTAGTAAGAACTAACTCCACTCACCCCCCTCTTCTTATTCTAACGACTAATTTTATTTCTTTTCAGTATAAGATCATTTATTTCATTCAGGTCGGACAAAATCAATCACTGAAAACGATGAGGATGGGTGGGCGGGGTTAATTATGTTCTTCTGTTGGGTGAAAGTAGAAAAAGGATGTGAAAACAGTAAAACGAAAGCGCAAATCGTAACTTTCTTTGTTATACTATTTGCTATAAAATTTATTTCTTACTCCATGCACCTGACCTGACTTGACCTAGCCTGTTCTGACTTCCGTATTATCTCAAATAAACAAATTTAAAATTTTTCTGTGAATACTTATATAAAATCCACAAAGTAAATTCTTAAAATAATTGAATTTTGTGAAACAAAAATTAATAATTATTTCTTTTCTTATCTACAAATTTCCGACGAAATGAAGCCTAAGATAACTTCTGGATATCGAAATCTACAAGAAAACGTCGACAATTAATTTTCGAAAATAATTGAAAAATGCTAGAAAATGTCAAAAGTGCCAAAATCAGTTCTATCTTGTCAAATATTAGCCCCGCCCACCCACCCTCTGTTTTTTTTAAAGATATGTGATTTGCCAAAATCAGTCTTATCTTAGCAAATATCTAACGACCAATTTTATTTGCGTTCAGTAGATCATTCATTTCATCCAGATCGGACAAAATCAATCACTGAAAAGGAGACAGGGTGGGTGGGCGCGGCTAATTATGTTCTTCTATTGAGTGGGAGTGGAAAAAAGATGTGAAAAATGTAAAAAAAAAGTCGAAAATGTCAAAAGTGCCAAAAATTAGTTTCATCTCATAAAATACTAGCCCCGCCCACCCACCCTCTCTTTTCGTGGAAGGTACGTGATTTGCCAAAATCAGTCTTACCTTAGCTTGCTAAGATGATACTGATTTTGGCAAATTATATACCCTCTAAAAAGGAGAGGGAGGGTGGGTGGGCGGGGCTTATACCTTCTTAGACTGATTTTGTTGCACTAATTTTCATATTATTTAAATACAGAATAAAATTAATAAACAGAACTATCTAGACACACAATACAAATAAAATATACTGAGTTTCTTAATAAAAAAATAAATTAATTAAAATAAATTAAACTCTGTTACTTGAAATAATCTAAATTGAGTCGTTTGGCTTGATCTCAGATAATTTCCCCTGACATGACTTGAACTGACATGACTTGGCCTAACATGACTTGAACTGAAAATACTTAATCTGACCTAATCTGATTTTAATTAATTTGACTTGGTCTAAATTGACCTGACTTGAATTGACTTGACCTGACTTAACATGACCTGACTTGACGTGACGTGACCTGACTTAACATGACCTGACTTGACGTGACCTGACTTAACATGACCTGACATGACTTAACATGACCTGATTTCGGCTAACCTGATCTAAATACTTTCGTTTGACCCACCTTAGCATGATCTGACATGACCCAAGTTGACCTACTCTGACCCGACCTATTATCGATCCACATAAATAAGTTATGTCGATGTACAAATCACTACCTAACCAAACATCCAGACATTCACTTTAATAAAAAAAAATCCCCCAAACCAACTCCACAACTATTAATTCAATATTCTCACAACCATTCCCATCAAAGCCGCACAAAAACGCCACTTTTCACCCGCCCCCACGGCCCCCGCCGCCTCCATCAATCCACGTCGCTCCCACCGCCGACTTCTTGATAACTCGACTCAACGATCTCGGAAATTACTCCGGAAACACAATCTTTCACATACTTCCTTCCCCGCCCCCGATCGCCAATTCCAAAACAATACGTCATTTTCCATACAATCGAATCCGCCCTGACCTGCCCCACGCCGGCGGCGGCGGCCGCCGAAGCGGTCCGCTCTTCCGTGGCGGCGCATCCCTTGTAGGCCAACGAGCGAGAATTCGGGTCAAAGTAAGGGTGGATGATGCCACCCTTAGAAACGGAGAGATAAGTGCGAGCGGCTCCGGGGGCGGCTCGGGGGTGGGATTTTTACGAGAATGTATGTTTTGACGAGGTAATGGGGGGTCAGCTAAGTACGTGGATAAAAGTTGTCGCTGTGAAGGCAAACGGGGCGGAATTGAGGCGATCGGCCCGATAAAACCTCGTCGAATTTTTTCACACTTCTAAAATGATAATAATAATAATGAGTTGTGTGACGGTCCAGAAAAACCAATCAAAAATAACCCGCGCGGACACTGAATTATGGGATATTTACATTATATAAAAATTGTCACGCTCCAAAAGCGCCGCAGCTGAAAAATTGTTGTTTATACTTAGCAACTAGGCGTGCCCTTCCGCACGCCGCCCCGCCATTGGCTAAGTCGGCCCCGGTGGGCGTTCCCGGCGCCCTCTCGATCAAAATATTACAAAATTAATTCTCACGCTAACGTGATAAATCCCTCCAATTTGTACGAATCGGATCAATTTAGGCTCCCCGGGAACAAAAATAAAGCAAAAAGCGCACGAAAAACAAAACAGGAGCGACACTCACGTCAGACGAAGACGCTGCATACTTAAGTAGGGAGAGACAAATTCGAAATTTTAGTTTGTACAAATGCGAACGCGCGCGTTGGTCGTGTGTGGTACTCGGGATGAATTTCTACCAGAGCTTCTACCAGAACTACCAAAAGAGCAACTTCTTCTACCACGGCGACAAGAAGGGGAAGGGGGAGGAGGGCAAGGGGGCCAAGTCGGACACGGGCTACGCGAGCGGCGAGAGTTCGGCGGAGAGCGACGACGAGAAGGAGCTGAGCCATGTCCTGGAGCCCCAGAACAACAACTGCGACACGGGGGGACCCAGGAAGTGCCTGGCGTGGGCGTGCAAAGCGTGCAAGAAGAAGACGGTGGCCATCGACAGGAGGAAAGCGGCCACGCTGAGGGAGAGGCGGAGGCTGAGGAAGGTGCGTCCGAGAGTGTGTAAAACTAATAATAACGGTACTGGATTCACAAGTACTAGCAAATTTTCGGGAAAATGGAGTGAGTCGTTGCTGATTCTTGATTTAAACAATAAAATAAAGGAATCATTAAAATTAATCCTATAAAAACAATAAATAAAACGTAATATGGTTAAATTTTATTTCATGAAATTGATTTGTTTGAAAGTTATATTTTTCGAGATTTTTACGGTCTTATAATAGGTTGAAAACTGAAAAAAAAACTCGGCGTTTTTATATTTCCCTATTAAAATGAGTACATAGACGTGTGTCACACCAAAAGATGTGGAAAGAGATTGGTTTTCACAAATTAAACAAAACATTTACCAAAGTTGTTTTTCTTTCTTCTTATTAAGTAAAATTTTAAAGCAAATTTCAAAACCACAGTGATATTCGTAGATTTTAGTTTAACTAATAAGTAACAGAGTACCACGAATATCAACCAAATCCGGGTCTTATTATCCAGAGAAATGCAAAATGCAATTCACACAAAAATACATCTCAAAGTGATTAAAATGATATTTGAGGAACTTATGTATCATGGTTTCCGAACAAATTCTGTGCTAAACTCGCTGATGCACAACGATTCTTATAGAAAAACAAAACAATACTTTTCTCCTAAGAATCTTTCAAACTTTTTCAAACACAAAATACTATGAGAAGCCCTCTCGTTTCTTAGAGGGTATGTGATTTGCCAGAGTCAGTTTTATCTTAGAATGTATTATAACCCCATCTGCTATTTCCTGCTAAGGTAAAACTGATTTTGGCAAATGACATACCTTCTAATAAAAGATAGGGTGGGTGGGGGGTTAGTATCTGTTAAAATTGATTTTGGCAAGTGACATTCTCTAAAGAAATAGAGGGCGGGCGGGCGGGGCTAGAAAATTATTTCAGGTAATTTTCGAAAATAGTTGAAGTGTGGTCAAAAGTGCCAAAATCAGTTTTATCTTATTCAAATACTAGCCCCGCCCACCCACCCTGTATTTTTTTGGAGGGCATGTGATTTGCCAAAATCAATCTTAACCAGCAAGTACTAGCTGGTTGAGATAAAACTGATTTTGGCAAATGACATACCCGCCAAGAAAAGGGAGGGAGGGTGGGTGGGTGGGGCTAGTATCTGCTAAGAAAAAACTGATTTTGGCAAATAACATACCCTCTAAAAAAAGAGAGTGTGGGTGGGCAGGGCTAGTACCTGTTAAAATAAGACCAATTTTGACAAATGAGATTCCCAAATGTTATTTGTTTCCACTGTAAAACCTTCTCGGGGCTCCAAATGTCTTTTTCTTAATGTGAAACCTTCTCGGGGTTCCCAAGTGGTTTTTCTTAATCTAAAACCTTCTCCAAGCTCCCAAATGTCTTTTTTTTTTAAGGTGAAACCTTCTGGGGGTCGCGACTATCTTTTATTTTTTAATGTGGAACCTTCTCGGGGGTCCCGACTGTCTATTATTTTTTAATGTAAAACCTTCTCCGGGGTCCCAACTGCTTTTTTAAAAAATGTAAAACCTTCTCGTGGGTTCCAAATGTCTTTTTTTTAATGGGAAACCTTCTCGGGGTACCCAAGTGGTTTTCTTTTAATGCAAAACCTTCTCGGTGTTCCCAAGTGGTCTTTTTTAATCTAAAACTTTCTCGGGGCTCCCAAATGTCTTTTTTTAAAGATGATACCTTCTGGGGGTCGCGACTATCTTTTATTTTTTAATGTGAAACCTTCACGGAGGTCCCTACTGACATTTTCTTCCAATGTGAAATCTTCTCGGTGGTCCCCAAAATGTTTTTGTTTGAAATGGGAAACCTTCTCGGGGGTCCCGACTGTCTTTTATTTTTAAATGTAAAACCTTCTCAGGGATCCCAATTGGCTTTTTTAAAAATGTAAAACCTTCTCGTGGGTCCCAATTGTCTTTGTTTTAAATGTGAAACCTTCTCGGGGGTCCCAACTGTCTTTTTTTTTAATGTAGAACCTTCTCGGGGGTTCCAAATGTCCTTTTTTTAATGTGAAACCTCCTCAGCGTTCCCAGGTGTTTTTTTTTGAATGTAAAACCTTCTCGGGGCTCCCAAATGTCTTTTTTTTAAACCTGAAACCTTCTGGGGGGTTGCGACTATCTTTTATTTTTTAATATGAGACCTTCTCGGGAGTCCCCAAATCTTTTTGTTTTAAATGTGAAACCTTCTGGGGGGTCCAGACTGTTTTTTATTTTTTAATGTAAAACCTTCTCAGGGGTCCCAACTGCCTTTTTTAGAAATGTAAAACCTTCTCGGGGGTTGCAAATGTCTCTTTTTTTAATGTGAAACCTCCTCGGCGTTCCCAGGTGTTTTTTTTTTAATGTAAAACCTTCTCGGGGCTCCCAAATGTCTTTTTTTTTAAACCTGAAACCTTCTGGGGGATTGCGACTATCTTTTATTTTTTAATATGAAACCTTCTCGGGGGTCCCCAAATCTTTTTGTTTTAAATGTGAAACCTTCTGGGGGGTCCAGACTGTTTTTTATTTTTTAATGTAAAACCTTCTCAGGGGTCCCAACTGCCTTTTTTAAAAATGTAAAACCTTCTCGGGGGTTGCAAATGTCTCTTTTTTAATGTGAAACCTTCTCGGGGTACACAAGGGTTTTTTTTTAATGTAAAACCTTCTCGGAGGTCCCAACTGTAATTTATTTCCAATGTGAAATCTTCTCGGTGGTCCCCAAAACGTTTTTGTTTTAAATGTAAAACCTTCTCGGGGGTCCCAACTGTCTTTTTTAAAAATGTAAAACCTTCTCGGGGGTCCAAACTATCATTGTTTTAAATGTGAAACCTTCTCGGGGGTCCCAACAGTCTTTCTTAAAAATGTAAAACCTTCTCGGGGTCGCCAAATGTCTTTTTTTCATGTGAAACCTTCTCGGGGCTCCCAAATGTCTTTTTTAAAGGTAAAACCTTCTGGGGGATCCCAACTGTCTTTTTTAAAAATGTAAAACCTTCTCGGTGGCTCCAAATGTATTTTTTTACGAAGGTGAAACCTTCTTTTTTTATATTACTCTGTGACTAGTACCTTCTATATAGTTTTTACTGCATAGAGGTTACCACGAAAAAATAAAATTCCCCAAAATCAATTTCATAATTTTTCAGATGTGATACCTTCTAATAAAACAAAGGGTGGGTGGGTGGTTCTGGTACCTGACGTATCCTCTAAGAAATTTAATTTAACTATTATTAGAAAAGACACTATAGGCTCCAAAGCACTTTCAAATTCTTTCCAAACAGGAGTACCTAAAACCTCAAAATTATGTATCATGGTTTCCTTACAAATTATGTCCTAAATTGCATTTAGATCTTAATTCCCTACTGGGTTAAATAAAATTCGCTTTGTAAGAAGAACCAGATATAATAATAATTCCAACAGGTTAGGTAAACGATTCGTACAGAAAAACAAAACAATACCTACTTTTTTCTTAAGAATTTTTCAAAGTTTTTCAAACACAAAACACTAAGAAAAGAAAGGGTAGTGGGCGGGGCTAGTATTACTGGCCCCGCCCACCCACCCTCCCTTTTTTTACAGAATATATTATCTGCCAAGATCACTTTTATCTTAGGAGGTCCTGTCCCCACCCACCCACCCTCTCTCTTCTTAGAGGGTATGTGATGTGCCAAAATCAGTTTTTTCTTAGCAGATACTAGAGCCTCCCACCCCCCCTCTCTTTTCTTCAGTTTGAGTTTAAGACCGATATTGGCAAATGACATATCTTCCAAGAAAAGAGAGGGTGGGCGGGCGGGGCTAGTATCTGTTAAGAAAAAACTGATTTTGGCAAATCACATACCTTCTAAGAAAGGAATGGGTGGGTGGGCGGGGCTAATATCTGCTAAGATAAAACTAATTTTGGCAAATCACATCTTGTAACAAAAGAACGGGTGGGTGGGTGGTGCTAGTACTTCCTAACATAAAACTGATTTTGGCAATTCACATACCTTTTAAGAAAAGAGCGAGCGGGTGGGTGGGGCTAGTACCTGTTACGATTGATTTTGTGGGACGAACCAGATATAATAATCCCAACTGGTCAGGTAAACAATTCGTACAGAAAAACAAAACAATGCTTTTTTCCTGAGGATCTTTCAAACTCTTTCAAACACAAAACACTATAAGAAGAGAGGTAGCTACTGGCCCCACCCACCCGCCCTCTCTTTTCTTAGAGGATATGTGATTTGCCAGATTCAGTTTTTTTTTGGAAGGTATTATAACCCCGCCCACCCACCCTCTCTTTCCTTAAAGGGTATGTGATTTGCCAAAATCAGTTTTATCTTAACAGATACCAGCCCCACCCACCCTGTCTTTTCTTAAGTTTGAGTTTAAGACCGATTTTGGCAAATAACATACCCTTTAAGAAAAGAGACGGTAGGTGGGCGGGGCTTCTATCTGCTAAAGTAAAGCTAATTTTGGCAAATCACATACCCTCTAAGAAAACAGGTGGATGGGTGGGGCTAGTACCTGCTAAGATATGACTGATTTTAGCAAATGACGTATCCTCTAAAAAATTTAATTAAATTATTAGAAAAGACACTAGAGGCTCCAAAGCACTTTCAAATTCTTTCCAAACAGGAATACCTAAATCCTCAAAATTATGTATCATGGTGCCTTTACAAATTATGCGCTAAATTCGCTTTAGATTTTAATTCCCTGCTGGGTTAAATAAAATTCGCTTTGAAGAAGAACCAGATATAATAATTCCAACAGGTCAAGTAAACGATTCGTACAGAAAAACAAAACAATACTTTTTTCTTAAGAATTTTTCAAAGTCTTTCAAACACAAAACACTAAGAAAAGAAAGGGTGCGTGGGCGGGGCTAGTATTAGTGGCCCCGCCCACCCACCCTCCCTTTTTTTACAGGGTATATCATCTGCCAAGATCACTTTTATCTTAGGAGGTACTATCCCCACCCCCCCACCCTCCCTCTTCTTAGAGGGTATGTGATGTGCCAAAGTCAGTTTTTTCTTAGCAGATACTAGC